TTGTGACTTTTTACTGTATATTGTTGATCATTTCCTTTTGTATTGCTGCGCCTTAAATAATGAAATTGTTGACTCTACATCGACATATTAAGAAAGGTAATTTTGTCAGGTATCACTAGATACAATTGTATCATTTCTTTAGGGACGAATGTATCGTCTCTTTGAGACGATTATTCTCAGAATATTTTTATAATTTTCACAAAAATCAGCTCAGCAGATTTTGACTAGTAAGATATAGTCGATTTGTTGCTAAATCTTAAGTCTAACTGAAATTTTGCTGAATATTATAACTGAAAGGTCTTAATGCCAAAATAATGCTAAATTATGTGTGGTGTAACAAATGACTATTGATTTTTTTAACTTATAACTGAATCGGTTAAATGTTAATCGAATAGTATTAGTGCCAAATGAAATGATTTTGACTAGTGTAAGTCACAAGTATGTTGAACCTTTTGAGTATATAGATTCTCAAGATAGGTTTTTAGAAACAAAATTTCTGCCAATTCATGAATTTACTACTAAACTTCATGAAAAAATTACTCAAGAAGATTATGAGTATACTCAGAAAGTGTGAAAGGAATTTGAATATCAAAATCTAGGTAAGTATTATAATCTCTACTTTAAGACTGATATAATTAGTCTTGCTAATGTCTGAACAGAATTTCAAAAAATATTTATAAAAAATAATGAGCTTGATCCTAGCTATTACGTTTCTCTTTCAGCTTTATCTTGGGATTCTATGCTTAAAATGACTAGAGTTAAGATCGAACTTCTTACAGATATAGCTATGTATGATTTTATCGAAAAAGCCAAATATAGTAAAATAGCTATAACCTGTCAAAGATATTTCAAAGCAAATAATCCTAAAATTAGTGAAGACTATAACCCATTCAAACCCACAACATAAATTACATATGTAAATGCAACAAATCTTTATGGTTGGATCATGAGCTAATACTAGGGTTTCTCAAAATTGAATCGAATCAAATATTTAAGCAATTTGAATTTGATTTGATTTTTTCCAATCGAATCAAATCGAATCGAATTGAACTCAAATATTTGATCGAATCAATTTGAATCAATTTGAATTTGATCAAATTGAATCAAATTAAATCAAATCAAATCAAATATTTAATCAAATCGAATCGAATATAAAAAAATTTTTAATTTTTACAATGATATATTAAAATAAAGTTATTATAAAGGTTTAATTAA